CCCTTTTCATTGTAACCTCTCACCATCTATCACTCTTTCCTGACCCCTCTTTTAACACCCTCTTCTTCACCACATGTGAAATGTCAGCGCCTCCCTCGTCCGATCGACAACTATTTGCAAGCTTCCTCACCTCATTGCTCCCGTACGCACCTCGCCGTTCCAGCACCTTCCCTTTTTTTGCTCTCTCCAAAGGACTTCTATCCATCCTGCTGTCTGATTTAAGCCACAAGACTACTTTTTACTCTTTCCTCCAAAGGGCAGATGGATTTCTATTCGTGAGCCTGAAGAACAAGAAAGATGAGTGGAATTCCAATCACCCCCAAAGAAGGATCAAGAGGATGGGACAAGGGAAATGAGGGATGCAAGGAGAGTCGCGCATACCTTGACAACATTGTGCTATCTGTCAGAAAGAGAGGGAAGACAAGGCAAAGCTCATGATAGTATTGAAAGTATCAGGAAACTGATTTACTCAGTCGTAACGGTCGTGAGATTTTTTTTTTTTCCTTCAAGGAATGCCGGGATGAACAAAGTGTTGAAAAAGACCACCAAGCACCCTTGGTGCTAAACAGGAATTTAGCAGATTAGCAGATGGTTAGCACACACACTCATGGATGACATCACCATAGTCAGTTCGAGGCAAGAAAGTTTAAGGTGCCAAATAGCTTCTGCGCTCAGAGCGAGAAGCAGGATTTATGTCTTTATATTTGACTGTTACGGACCTTTCGTCAATGTTTTAAGTGTCTATTTCTTAAGATTTTGCAAGCATTCCAAATTGTCAGCCTGTTTATCAGTGTCACCGAAAGGCACAAAATAACATGGATGTTTTTCTAAGGTAGGTAAGCCAATCAGATGGTGTTGAGGCTCCTGGAGGCTGTGAAGGTCAAAAGCCCAGCCCCTGCTTGGGAACCAGTTGTCTGTCTGCCCAATCCAGTGGAGCTGCGGCTGGGTTGAATTTTTTATTTTTTTTTTTCGTACACGGGCCAAAGGAAGGTGAAATTGGTGACGCTCCCAACCGAGGCAACAAAAGAAGGCCTCTGGCCTTCTTGCAGTCAAAGAGGCTGACAGCCAGGTATGAAAAGGAGAGAGAGGGGTGAGAGGTTGTCACCGGAGGAGAAATGGACGAGGGGTGGATGGAGGAGATGATGCTGAGAAGGTGAGCCAAACTTCCTGCTCACTTGACCCCTCCAATTACCACAGTGACGGTTCATTAGTGCAGAGGTAAGCGCTGGTAATTACCACATTGTGTCTTGCACAAAAGGCGACACACACACACACACACACACACACACACACCCACGTTGCTATGGATACCTCCCCATCCTATATCGCGGCGCCGGAGCAGAGAAGATGGAAATAGATGAAAGAGTTGGGGGGGAACAACAAGATGTGGAGACAGAGCGAAGGCAAACAAAAGCGCTACAAAGGCAAAGCAAGAAGTAACAACGTTTAGTTCAGAGAGGTTGGTTGGCGGTGTGTCATCCGCGTTAACAACTAACTCTGTCGAGGAATGACAGTTGAAAAGGCAGTCATCAGGTGCATTAGTGAGGGAAACACTGGAATCCCAGCTTTGTGCTCAGCTCACAAGCGTTCCACCGGAGCAGATCAGATACGCACACGTTGGCAACAAGTTCAACATGTGTTTATGCAACCAAGAAAGGAGCCGAGAAAACTAATTTCCCTCATATGAGCGCTGATTCCTGCAACCTGTCAAAAGTTACACCTGTAAATAGACATTGGCCAATAACATTATTCAATACAAGAGCTGTAAATAAAATGAAATAAAATAAATCCTTTACAAGACAGGTGTCCAATGCAAGGCCGGAACTAGACGGCTCTAAGATTTTATGCGACCCACTGAAGCAAACAAAGTTGCCTTCTTCTATGGTTATTGTGAAATGGATTTGTTCTTTCAATTCGGTTCCAAAATTGCACTTTGCTTCACTTTTAATAAATATTACAAGCGTTGTTCTTTCTCATCGCATCCCCTCTTAACAGGTTCAGTAATAACATATTTTCATGCCACAATTTTCCATGACTTTTGATTTGAAAAATTGTATTTGTTGTGACCCACATATAAAACAATCAATTGAAGGGTCATTTGTGTATATTAAACTGTCAAGCAGAGAGCGCATATTCCCAAATATAGTAAAAAAATGGTTAAAAATGGTCAAGTCCTACGGTGTCATATTTGTACAAATTATTAACCACCGATAATCTAAAATGTTGAATTTACAGTAGCTTGAGAGCCAGTCAAGTAACTCTTTTACACATGTTAACTGTCTGGGAAGTGTCTCCACTCAACTCCGCCTCTTCTTGACTCTGCAGGAGCCTCCCAGCATTAAGTTGCCTCAAGATAGAAAGTACATCTGTTTTTGTATTTGATGGTAAAAATAGCGAAGTTGGATACATTTTACTTTTTTATTTCTTGGACCACGCTTGGCTCATGACGTTGACCACAGTCATTAATTTTTGTGAAGTATTAAGGTTGATTCGACTTTGCACCAACATGTCCATACCAATCAATGACAGCCTAACAAATTAGCGATATTTAGCTCATTAAATTGGTGAGCACTGAAAAAATGGTGTGTTGAATTTACTCCATTTTACTTCGTCAAGTTGTTGCATCAAATAAAATAATCTGGAACCAGGTTTTTTTTTAGACAGTACATCTACCTAAATGGATCCAGATGATTTTATTTTGTGACCCACTTGATGAAACAAAATTGAGTAAATTCAACACGCCATTTTTAAAGTGTGCACTATTTTGGGTTGATGGTGTGTGGATGTTGTAACACAGCAATATAAAATTTCACAATGGCGTAGTTATGATGTGGTCCAATGCAAAAATGAATTTGTCACCCCTGCTTTACAAGGACAATAATGCAAATTGTTGATATTTTCCAAGAAGTATTCATTTTGTTAAGACACAATTCTATTGTTGATTAGTATAACCGCACGATCGCGCACTTCATATTGCTTAATGCTAATTGACCCCCTGTACTTTATAGAGAGTGTGAGAGAGAGAGAGAGAGAGAGAGAGAGAGAGAGAGAGAGAGAGAGAGAGACACACGTGTGTGTGTGTGTGTGTGTGTGTGTGTGTGTGAGTGTGCTAAAGTACCAGCGACAAATTCCTTGTGTCTTTACTTTGAGAGTAAAGATGATTCTGAAGTTTCAATGAGCACGGACCACACACTAACCAATGCAGGAAAAGACATCCTGATCAAAATCCTCTCAAATGCACCCACTTGCTTGATTGTGCGATTCAAATGGACACACAAATGTCTCTCTCGTTTACATGATGTGTTACGTAAGCTGTCGGGAACTGTATATCTCAAAGGCAGGGAGACACGGTGGGGGAGGGCGGGGGGGGTGCTCCTTACACACCAGCAGCCCATAGAAGGTCACATCACGAGGCATGTTTGGGGTTAAAAGACATGACCTTACTCGCCGCAAGCACCGCGTGGCACATGCCATACTAAATGGGAATTAAATTCCCTGATCCAAGTGTTTACATTCTGGGATACTTCTGCATAACAGATGGCACAGCATCAAGTGGGGTCGCCCCCTTCAAGCTCTCGGAGGACGCACCCAGACGTTGTGGTCTTGATCGGTTTGATGGCGCCACCGAGTGTTCAAAACAGCATTACACATTGTTTGACGCTGTTCGAACTGGATATTGTCACGCCGGATTGTTTGTGTTGGCTGATCGCTACCTGTTTTATTTTGAAAGAATGACGCTCCTCTCGTTTCAGGTCACTTGCTCTTCCTCCTGGGCGTGTCTGATTGTTTCCACCTGCTTCCCCCTTGCATTGTGTTTAAATGGTCCTTGTCTCGCTTTACCCTGCGCCAGTCTGTTTCATCCTTATGCGTGCAATTCAACCTCTCACCACAGATCTGACCAGACCTTGTCTCGTTTCCACAGCCTTTCCTATTTTGAGTTTTTAGCCGCTGATCCTCAAATAAATATCTCCTTTACTCTGAACCCTGCAACTGTGTCCTCGGTCCAAACCTTGTATTGACCAGCGTGTCTCAACCTTTATTTAGCCAAGGCATACATTTCACATGGGCAGCACAGTGGACGACTGGTTAGCATGTCCGCCGACTGGTTAGCAGGGTTCGATTCCGGCTCCGGCCTTTCTGTGTGGAGTTTGCATGTTCTTCCTGTGCCTGCGTGGCTTTTCTCCGGGTACTCCGGTTTCCTCCCACATTCCCAAAACATGCATGGTAGGTTGATTGCACACTCTAAATCGTGCTTAGGTGTGAGTGTGAGTGCGAATGATCGTTTGTCTATGTGTGCCCTGCGATTGGCTAGCAACCAGCCCAAGAACTGCCCGAAGACAGCTGGGATAGGCTCCAGCATGCCTACACGACCCTCGTGACCATCAGCGGATTTGAAAATGGATGGATGGACACATTTCACATCAGAAAAGAATTTACGACACATCACTTAGAAAGGCGAGTCACAAAAACTGGATAATTATGTACCTTTTGTAATCCAGTGGAAGAGCATTTTATTGTTCTGCCTGTTACTATACATGGTTAGCATAGATCTTTTTTTTAAAGGAAAAGAAACAGTTTTTGCCAAAATATTTAACATTGGATAATTTCCCGTGGCACACCCGATGCTCTCATGTCGGCACAATGGTTGGGAATCACTACCGTATACCAGCGCTTCTCTTAACTTTGCGGATCAACTACCCCCTAAAAATAATTTGCTGTCCAAACAGCTTTTATTTTTGTATTGTATTAGAAACAGAGGAAAAATAAGTTATGAATAAATAAATACTGCCAGCAGTTGAAGCCAACATCTTTTAAAGGTCAAGCATGACAAACAAACCTGACATTAATTTTGCTTCTTTTTCAGTGACATGAGAGCCTACACATACATACTAAAGAATTAAATATTTCAACAGTCTTGGTTGACTTCAGGTTGTTTAAATTCAGTACATTTATGTGTTAAATATTTTTTTCCTGAATAAAGGCAATTTAAAAAAAATTAAAATGACAAGTCCACCAACTCTCCTTTATTAGCAGATTTATTACTGATACATGACAATATTGTTCTAGTACGCACGTCTTTGTGTTTCACATGGAGTTTTGAGAATTTGCACAATTGGGACATTAGAATCTTGGTGTACAACAAAACTTAAAACAGAATGTAAACAAGAAATAGATGGTATTAAAAAAAATTCCAGCAGTGTGGGCAAAAAGTCCCCGTGTGTTGATTAATATTTGTCTAATAGATGATTTGATCATCGAACGCCAAGGCGGAAAAATACAACAGAATTCAAGACTAAACTGAATCATCTTCCATTTATAAAACTATACTTGAGTAATTGAACTGAAAATGCTGGATTACTAAACAGATGAAAGCCCAGAGCATAAGGCAAGCAAGCTCGCATTGTACTGTATTTACAGTCATCTATTTACATTGTCAGTAGCACAGGCGGACTTTGTCTCCCCCTGCTGCTCCCAACTGGTTTCACATTTTTTTCAGCAACATGCTTGAAATCCTATTCGAGGAGCAGCCAAAGAAAACTAAACGCAACAGGGCGGCGGGACACCTGTGGAGCCCGGTACACCAGAAATGGCACAGCCAAGTCCCGACACTCCCTCAGGATAGAAAACAAAGTGGGGGTGAGAAAAAAGTAAAACTGCCATTAAAGAGACAAATTAAATTTACAGCAGTCACAACTGAGCATTCAGCGTAACATACCGGTAGGTGGAAATTTTCCATTGTGGATATCCTGATTAGGGTCACGCTTGATCCTATCCTAGCTGACTTTTGGCGAGAGGCGGGGTACTTGTACACCACTCAACCTCACATCTATGGGTAATTTAGAATCTTCGAATAACCCAAAGGCATTTTTTTTTTTTTTTAGAAAGTGGAAAGAAGACAAAGCACAAGGGAAAACACACGCAAGCACGGCGGAAGAGAACACTCAAACTCCATATAGCAACCATCGTGCTGCCAAGATCATGTCTCTCTCCCAAGTCAAAATATACAAAAGCTGCAGTAATTACATGAAAAACGAGTCCAGCAGACAAATGATCATCTTATTCCAAACCTAAAAACACATTCAACAAAAGGCTGCGACTACTGTGAAGTACACAAAGAGATAGTTGTTGAAGAAGGATGTCGGTGCAGCAGAATGAACCAGACTTCAAGCAGACCATGTCTTGGCTGGGCGGGCAACAGATTAGGTCCAATTTTAAAAATAATGTTTTTTAATCTGTGCTACACGCCTAATGCTGAATTACTAGTCAGGTTACGTTCTCAGCTAGTCCAGACACACTGTACATAAAAAACAAGAAAGGAACATGAATAAAATGTTTCATTAAAAGACCATAACAACCATACACAGTGAGACAAATTAAGAAAACCACAGAGAAGCCTCCCTCCCACCCCCCCCCCCCAAAAAAAAGTGGGAGCTATCAAAAGCTAAAACTAAATGCAGACAGCATTTGGTGCTTCATGTTGTGTTTGTGTGTTCATGTGGAGACCGGACGTAGGAGGGGTTGCTGTTAGGCTGTGGGTGTGGAGTGTGTCTGCCCGCGGACAGCGACAGAGGCCCTCACGGAGGTGTCTCTGCACTGGATGTGGTCTTTTTCTTTGGTGCCTTCTTCACCGTCTTGCTTTGTGTCTTCCCAAGGGCGGGGCGGGACAGGAAAGAACAAAGACAAAGAGAGTCAAGAACGGTTGGTGACACTGACGGACAATGTACAAGCATCTAGATGGTGAAGACACCCGACCCAGAATACAGTTCACGCACTGCCTCAGAAAGCCAATCTCACATGAGGGCCATATTCCAAGCATCATAGAAAGTTGTGAGACTCAAGTGGATTCTCACTGAGAGTACTAAAGACTGCTTATTTTTTTCACTTGATAAGGTAGAGTGAATGTGCTTGGAATGTGTCGAAACTGGAAAAGCACAGCCTCAACGCAAAATGACATTCGACACCAGGGAGCCAACTTCAAATGCAGTGGCAGGCCCATCTTGCTTCTGTAGGGGTTGACCCGACTTCATACCACCAATATCATGTCGCAATTATACAAATCACAAAAACAGCATGCAACTGTGCCTCATAAATCATCTGGACCAGTTGGAGTCATCAACAAAATCCATCCATCCATTTTCCAATCCGCTTATCCTCACAAGGGTCGCGGGGGGTGCTGTAGCCTATCCCAGCCGTCTTCGGGCAGTAGGCGGGGGACACCCTGAACCGGGTAACAGTCAATCGCAGGGCTCACAGAGACAAAAAACAATGCACGCTCACACTCACACCTAAGGACAATTTAGAGTGTTCAATCAGCCTGCCATGCATGTTTTGGGAATGTGGGAGGAAATCGAAGTACCCGGAGAAAACCCACGCAGGGCCGGACTGTGAGGTCGACGTGCCAACCACTGGCCCACCAGGCCGCCTTCATAAACAGAATGTTTAGATGAAATAAATCACAACACCAGTGATGCATTGATGTGTTCAGATTGCTAAACAACTGTTTGCTAGTCAAAGTTGCCCATCACGTTTTGCTCTGATCAACCAGTCAGAGGGTAGAAAATTCTTGTTAAGACTGAGGGCCAGCATTCTGGCCATGTGATGACAAATTAATAAATTCAAGAAATGGTCCGATTGTTTATGCAGTTCAAATTACATCGACCAGCACTACTGATTCTGAAGGCCCTTGGCAGATGAGATGGTTTTTGGCCTCCATGGGTCACCAAAGAGGCTAAATTTTGGTTGGTCAAAAAAAAAAAAAAAGAAAAAAAGATTACCACATTCACAAACAGCACTGAAAGCAATGGAGCCAAGAGAAATGCTACGAAAAGAAGCTAATAGGCTGTTGGTAACAAATGAATGCAATTTCATGCAACCAATATTGTACTGTAGGTCAGCATATCTGATAGTGTTTAAGCCAATGGCGAAGGCCTTGCTCACTCAGACTTCCCACCACTGTACAAATGAGGTTCGTGATGATTCGATGTCAAGTCGCATCTGCAACACGATTGCCTTTGCATCTCACAATTTTGTTATTGGTGTGACAACAGAGTGGTTTGTTTTTACTACGATATTGCCTGTGGTTAACTTCTTTTGACACCTGCAAGACAGGTAATGCGAGTGTGTACCTCCGTCTTTGCAGCAGGTTTCTTGGTTGTTTTGGCGGCGGCGGTCCGCTTCGAGGCCTTTTCGCCACCATCCTCATCAGAGTGCTCAGTTCTTGCATCTGATTGGTCTGAGCTGTGGTGGGACGATATCTCGTCTGAAAGGGACGTCGAAGCCATTGAGCGTGCTGTGGATTTGTATTAAAAAAATGTTATCAGGACAGGTTATATTTCTTCTACTTTTTCCATTTTTAGATGCAATAGTACACCAACTGCTTGCTAGTTTTAAAGCTGAGTAGTAATTTTATAAAACCAATATACACAAAATGGAACAATGCTCCAAAACAAGACTTTCAGGCTCCTGAGGGATGACCAGATTATCTGCGTGCCCCAACCACGATGGCCCAACAACAATCGAAAAAAAAAAAAATCAACAGTTTAATTGCTTGTTAAAATAATTGATTTTTGCGTACAGTGTCTACGGCTTGGCAGGCCCAGCCGTGTCTCGCTTGTTTGCAACACGGAAATTAATGTCTTGCGTGTGTGAAAGCGTCAGTGCATTTTGATTGGGAATTTGTGACACCGTCACATCGTGTAGCCGTGCGAGCGCATCTCGCTCTCTTTCCCTGTCAGATTCTTGTCATTGGCTGGCTTTAGCTGTCGATCAACGTCACATTTAAAGAAGTTTTGTGGCTGGGCTTGAGCTGTACATGCAGCGCGAGTGTGATAAATCCACAGAGATGAGAGTGTTAGAATTTTTCAATACAGTAACTGTTCATATCTAGATGAGTATGACAACGATATATCGCCCAGCCTAAATTTCACTCAAATTCAATACCTTATAATAACAAAATGTGGCCACACAAAGAAAAGTTTTAATACTAAATGAAAGCTCTTTTGGGGGTATGATGGGCATATGGACCCTTTCCAACAGAGAACACGCCTATTCACAGTTCAGCATTCACAAATTCACCAATAAATTCTGCTTTGGCGCCATCTGGTGGCATCTTCATGCCAAGAAATCATTTTGACATGTGTTTTGTTGAGACAAGTAGTGGTTGTCGCTATTTTGTGGCATCCATAACCAATTGTAAACCTGTTTTAGGAGGGGTGTCAGTGACTGGCACTTACTTCGCTACCCGTAGCCGGACTCGATCCCTATCTGCCGCAAATAGCAACGCTTCACTGTAGTCCCAATTATTACTACCGTACTATTATGGAAGAGCCACAAAATGAAATACAGTACTTTAATTCCCTTTCAATTGCTTTTACATACATTTGTTTTATTTTTGTTAGGTATCAGAATTACTCTTGTACATTTCTTTGTCTGCCTTTTCCGCATTCCGTCTACAGCTTGTGAGGCTGACACAGAGACACTCTGCATTGTCTTTATCGCCATCCGACAGCTTTTTTAAAGTTCTTGAGCAGAAAAAAAAGAGAAATTGACACTGCGACCAGGTATCCTCAGCTCGGAGAAATAGCCACGTGGGTGACCAGTTGAGATCCAGCTCAATGAGAATTCGGTCGATGTTTACATGTGGTCTTACTCTGTCGTGTGGCGGCACTCTTGGCCCGGGGCAGCGTGCTCGCCCCCGAGCTCATGTCATCCACCGAGTCTCGTCTCATGCGGCCATCTGAAGAATGCAGAGACAGCTCATCCTCAGCGTTGATGAGTGTCAGGTCCTGCATGCTAAAACTGCGCAGCTTGTCTGACAGCACACCCTGTCCCTGCACAGCAATCAACAAAACACATCAGACACGGGACAACGTCTGATGAGTCTAATGTTAGACAAAAGACATTTGAGAAAGAGATTGCCTAAATATCGAGATGTATACAGACAGGACCAAGAAAAAAAGCAGTTTTGCATATGTAGTACACTTGGTTGTTTCAGATCATAGAACCAAATTAAAAATCTCACAAAGCCAACCGAAGTAAATACTTTCTACAAAATGCAGTTTCTATATGATTTTATTCATTGAGGCTGACCAATGTCAATCAGAGCCCCGCTGTCAGAATAACATCCAAAATGCTGAAGGCCTCACTGGCCTCAGTTAAGCCACACGAAAACCACACGCCATAAACTGCATCCATGGCAGAGTTCCATGGCAAAAATCACAATGACAATACATTATTTAAATAAGCTTGCATTACATTTGCCAAGAAACATCTTGAAGATCCCGAAGACTTGTGGAGGAATATTCTGTCGACCAGTAATTCCTAACCAGTGTGCTTTGGCACATTAGTGTGCCGTGAGAGATCATCAGGTGTGCCGAGGGAAACAAGAAACTTTGTATGCTTGGCCTAGACCCCATTAGATTGGGCAGGTTTTTCCACTGTTGTGACCGGCCAATGCATGCAGTCTTGCAACTCTAATATGCCAAGTGAAAAAAGAATGAGTTTAAGCAGAGACTGAGACAAACTTCCGATTTCATTTCGTATGACTAAATGCCTTTTCACAACAAACTTAGAAGCACGCCACGTGCTCTTGATGATGAATCCATTCAATGTGGATGCGCCATGATGTATTGAGGAGGGAATGTGCGTCGCGCATGGTGGGCAGGCACCAAATGTTCAATTCGGGAGCCACATTGCTGTGATGTCAGAAGACACGTCCAATCAGAGAGGGGCTGGCAGAGTGATTTCAGAGTGCTAACAGCGATAGCCCAACCAGCAGGAAAAGCATTCCTTTCTGAGTAAGCTGCTACAGAATCACTGAAATTTGGTTCAAGCTTGGGCACTGTCGACCTTATGCTCTTCCCCACGGCCATGAAAACCAAGTGCGGTGTGAAAAGGCCTTTAAGATATGGGATAGACGGCACGGCACCCTCACCTTGGTGGCTGCAGTTACTGCAGCATTGGCAGCCAAGTTGAGACCCCGCTTTCCAAACCTCATCATGGTCTCATAACTCCTGTCTTTGGCCTGTGCAATGTAATCGTCTATTTCCTGCAGTATGTGATGATGAACAAACAAAAAGAACAAAGGGAAACAAAGGAGCTAAATGCAAAAATACGACAATTTAGGAAACCGACCAAGTGGCTGTCTTTACCTTCTCCTTGTTGGACAAGGTTGGGTGGACAAACTTGCGGTAGAGAACACTGGAGCCCTTGGTGTACGGGGACAAGAGCCAGATCACAAAGGCGATCTTCAACTCAAAGTAAAAAGGAAACCTGCACAATTAAACCCAACACAGAGAATGTGGTTTGAAACCTCAGCCACTGTGCGCTCATTTTAAGAAGGCAAAGCATCCTTTGATAGTGTTAAAAATATCCAGCTCACATGGCACTGGAAACACATGAATGCATCAATTGATATTATATAAGCGCTTATTTATTTCAAGCGCACGGAGAATGATGATCTGACTGATCATGTGCAGTTACTGACTCACCATGAGAGGAACAAGTCCGTCGCCGTCTCTGCTGTGGAGAATAAGGCAAATACTATCCAGTACATCATCCATTTGACCTGAATTCATACAAACATAGACGGGGGGGGGAATAACTGAGCACTCATTTTGTGAATCACGTGCCAAGGCAAATGGCGTTTAACAAGATGTGCTCACATGAAATGTAACATATGTGAGTCATGCAAATGCTTATCAGTATGCATGGTTTCATTTCCCGCAGACACAAACGGAATGTAGGGCATCACAAAATAGGATCACTTTAGCACAAAATGTGCTTCAAACAACAGCAAGTCAGCCAAGGAGTCGAGAGCATAAAAAATTATGTTGAATCCAGTGACACCAAACTGGAGCAAACAGAAATCAGAACAGTTCTAAAAATGGTGGCCTACACACACTCGCCTCCTTCTGTTGCCGCCTGCTTGAGTAGCGACAGAGAGAAAGGGGGTGTTGCTATGGTAACGTGTCAAGGAGGAGGAGATTGTTCTCGAGTGCGAATCCAGGCGCTAGGCCAGCACGCTGCTGCTGCTCCTGCTCCTCCCCTTCATGGACCGACCTCCTTGCTCTCATCCTTTGCAGTGATGAGGTAAGCAGGGAGGACCCCGTTTTATTTTAGACGCAGCCATGCACTCAACTAGCAGTAATGGCCGTCGGACAATAAACTTTTAAAACGAACCATTATCGATACAATGGCAATAGAAAGTGAACGCAACTCTGGTCAAATCAATGTTGTTTTTTGGGGGGGGGGTGTTATGTTTTTTGGAAGAAATGGCAAAATACAAGTTGTAATAAGAAAATATCAGACATTTAAAAATACATCCACCACGTGATGAATACAATAAAAAGGAAAAAAAAGTTACATAAACAACTTCAAAACTTTATTTTAAAAAATGGGCCATCGGGCACAAATAGAAACATCTGTTTGGGGAAACATGAATGAAACCATCCCATATTGTGAAGATATTTTTTAAGATGCTTTCACGTCAATGCTTGACAGTGATTTCATTATTATAAGCATAAACAACTATTTTGACACGGGTGTGTTCATTTACTTGCCATTCCATTATGTAATTTTGGTTACACACTGTATGCCTAATGAGACCGAATACAAGAACAGATTTCAGCTTGGGGGGCAAAATACAAAAACAGCTGTTAGTACGATGCAACTACAGCACCAACAATGAACAACTGTTAAATTAGCACCCCTCTGACTGTGTTCAAGCTTTTCCTCTTTCAGCAAAGGTCGAGATCTTATTAAAGACTTCCTGTATTTCATTGAGCAAATGTACCTAATGTCATTGTCGGTGGTGTGCATTAAAGTTGATGTCTGTGGAGGTCTTGCTTTCCTTCAAATGCAACCGTGGGGACATTTCACGACACTTAAGAGAGAGTAGAGAAGAAGCATGAGTCTCTGTCTTGGCTAATGTAACTTTATGCATTTAATACTACTTAAATTTCAGTGGTCAGCATGCCCTGTACCCACTGGACAAAAAAAAAATAATAATAATAATAAAAACTGTCCTGCGGTTTTGTTCAACACTGTTGACAAACGCAAGCCAGAAAGAGCTCATCAGTAGAGGAAAAGACAGTTGACAGCAACCTGGGGCGAGACATCTTCAAAGTGGAACAGTAGCGACAGGACAAAAATGATGCACTCGGATTTTGTAACCAGCGGTGATACTCACATATTCCTTCACATTCTTCGTTTTGACAGCCTTGTATGACGCGTATGCTGGGTAGAGCGTCCCAAAGGCCAGGCTGACGTGGTGGGGGAGAGAAAAAAAGAAAAAAAAAGAGTCAGGGTTAGAGGAGATAAAATAAGAAACAGAGGCTCTTGGTGCGGACTCTAAAACCCAAACAAATGACTTCCTGCTTAAAAGGCTTGTGAGCCATATTTTATCTTGTAGCTTTCTGTATTATCTGCCCTTTTATGCTGAAATGATGGCCGGCGGTTTGTCAAAACACACCAACCTGATACACAGAGTCAGGAAGTGAGATAAGATGTCTGCCATGGGTGGGGTGCTGTGTGATTGGGAGCTTTTTTTTTTTTTTTTTTACTGATGTTCGTTCACCCAAAGTAGTGAGCGTTGTTGATGTGACAGAAGCAGTGAGATGACTGCAGAGAGAGAGCGGTGAGACTACAAGCGTTATTTTTGTCTTTGTCATATTATGTCCTTTGGCAGTGTGTTGCTAATTATGCTTTGGAGATGCAAAACAAGGTAGTATTTCCAGGACCTGATGAGTTGAGGTTAAAAGCAAGATGAGCCGATGTCCTATGGGTGACGTAAACCAGTGCCGGTCGCTTATTGGTAGAGCGCATTCTCAACACCCAGGTCATTGTAATTTTCAAATACAGGTACCCGTGGTTAGAAAAGACAAAAATAAACTTTTTAACGTCATATCGCCCTGTTGCTGTGCCTTCACCCCACAGTATCATACGTCTATACTCTACTACAGGAGATCTCAGGCACTGTGCCGCAGACCGGGTTCGAGAAATTCAATGCCCCGGTGGCTAAGCAGTCAGTAAAATCAGTAGTCCTACTTAAGGAAGCTGACTCACACTAAACCCGCTTGCGTAATATTTTGCGAAAAGCTTGCAAATGAGACAACCAAGCCATCAAACCTGCTTTGGCACACGAAGCCTAATCACCTGATAGTAAAGGACAAACCTCCAGATTTTATGGGGGGGATGATCCCAAGATGGGGCCTGCTTATCCTAAGAGCTCCCTGAATTTTTTGTTAGAATTTTGTGACAAAGATGTCCACAAAAATTATCCCTGACTTTGTAATCTCATCCAAGACGATTCTTTTCGTCAAACTTTGTGGGAACAGAGACCAGATTGAAACCACAGACACAAAGTGAGTTCTGATCATTTTGTACATGGATGAATATGTACAAAACATACTCTTCCTGCAAAAGGTGTTGGCATTCACAGCGTGGCTACTGCTCGGGTATGCAGTTGGTCTTCTGTCCCAGGTATGGATGAACTCGGTCACGTGCATGGCACGAGGCCACCGACTGAGGAACTTGAATCGAGCAAATGGCCCACCTCTCCATCGTTACCATGTGTTCTTCCTCTAAAGGCTTTCCACCTCGGGCGCAGCAGTGTGGAAAAGCCAGACGGATGCTGTCAAAAGGTAACCATTTGCAAGCTCTACTTGTGCAATCAGATGAAGATAATTATATGCAAATCACTGCCAGAAGTATTAACCTTATATGGAACCTTATCTGGCTACACAATTCTGTGAAGAGCAATGCAGCAGTAGTGACAGCTGCTGACTTTAGTCGAGTCACTCCCTGCCTATGTCGCGGCCTATACGCTTGAATCACCCTATGACGTTCCTGGCCTCCGTTCTTCACAACGTTGTGTTAAAAATCTGCTTTTATCAGCTGAGTTTCTGCAGTCATTACAGTCTACTGCCTTGTCATCATAACGGAACCAGTGTTATCCTTATGGTGAGGAAGGTTTTATTTGAACAAAAATCTACCCTTCGTAAGTTTCCAATATCTTTCCAGCAGCCAGGGACGCCTGATCAAATTGTTTCTGTTCGGCAAAGCGCGGACAACTCCTGCCAACAATACTGTCAGGTGGTAACGTTACTGGCTAGCTATTAGCTACCAGCGACTGCTAGGTTGCGACGCGTCATGTTAATTAATGAGCGGTTGAATAAACTACGTAATTGCCAGTTTGAAGCGTTTATGTCTGCGTGGGCTGAGTAGGAGCAGAGCGTGACAGTTGTCACGGGAGACAGCCTCGTCGTCCAGCATCAGATACACATCCGATGAATGGAGTCGCCGCTCAGATGTGCTAACACCGGACCACCACCACAACCACAACAACAAAAACAGTCCGATACTCACACGACCATCCTCGAAATCATCCACGACACCATCTTGCTGGACCTCCTGCCGCTTGCCTTCTCCGCCTCGAGGTTGAAACGGTGACGAGCTAGTGGGCTAAGGGCGCTCCATTACCCTCGTGGACGCCGCTTGTGGTGAAGAAGCTGGCCGGGGGGGTCGGTTGACAGTCAGGTGCGGGGAGGCAGCGGCGAATGTGTGCTGCAGTCTCTGGCTACAAGCTGCTTTGCGTCGGGGTGTGAGGCTTCTGCAACTGTGTGCTTCTTAAAGGGGCAGCAATGCCTGGCACCAATCTGAAACCGATTTAAGTTTTTTGCTGCCCCTCCCATTCAGTCACGCAGAGTGAGCCACGCTTCAATGGGGTCTTAATCCAAAATTAGATTTTTGCAGCACTCTCTTTCTGTTACAATTGCAATACTTTATAGTTTTACTTATACACGTGGTATTTAAATATAATATTGTAAACAACTTATGCATCATGATTAATTCATTGTGACTCCTGCAGTTGGGTGTGACTTAACAATGGGGGCCGGGGGGTACAATACAGTCGTCAAGAACCAAAGGAAGAATACTTTCACAACTACTAAATTAGTGAACTTCAGTAGTATCAGTCTTTTTGCAGAAGATAAGCGAAAATATGCCTGCGGTGACTGTAATATTGTCTGTCTACATGTGTTGATGCACCATTTGTGTTCAAATATCCAGTGATGAATTCTTTTGAGGACCGCTGACGCGAATGCCATCTGCCTAAATTCTAACAAGGAGCGTCATTGACGTAATTTGTTGTCAACTATGTTTTTTCATGTGAACGGGTGGAAAGAAGTCTTGGATTTTGTCCGTGCACACTATATATTCCCTATATAGTGCACTATATGCATGTGATTTTCGATTTAACGGTATTTGGTGGAAAAAGTTGCAGAAGCATTTGGATGTGTAACTTAAAAATAACTTATAATGTAATATTGAGCAAATACTTGTATCTAATGATGTAATCGAACAGGTACCCGAAACAAGGCGACAGCAAATAAATCAAAATGTTATCTTTCGTGGTCGCAGGGCCTCAAGCGAGTTCTTAGTTCATATTCTTTGGGGCAGCTCTGTGAAAAAATCAGACTCGACCAGGAAAAATATTAAACAAATTATACATTTTAATAACAACTTATTTGATTTCTCAAACATTATACCAATCATATAATTCTGACATTGCTGAATTCAAGCCCTGTGATCATAATTGATCTTTAGTGTTCTCTATTAAATCAGTGGTCTGGACCTTTTTATTTCCGTATTAGTATTTCTGTTTATCGTTTAGGATTCCCACCGTCAAGTTCTGAGGGAACTGCAGTTCTTCCACTCTCTATTTCTTGCCCCACTTACAGGTCCTATTTTATAGATTCAACATTCAAATGGTCAAATGCTCCAAATAGCAAGTTGAGTTCGATATCCAAACACATTTTATTGATGATCACCAAAACAAGCAATTAGCCAATGACATAGTTCCATTATGAAAACACGCACACGCTGCCATTTTTCTTGACTTTATTGTGAAAAATCAAACAGACTGCTAAGATCAATATATATTGATACAATGTTAATGGCCAGTAGTTCTGTTCAGCTGCAAATGTGATTTTCGAACAATGTTGTTGGAAATCTGCAGTTATTCAGCCTGTGAAACAAAGTAACCCAAAAAAGTCTCTTCTATGAAATCCTCCTAATCATTACTTGTGCAATGATAAAGAGGTGTACAAAAGAAACGACTCCTTAAAGTGAAAACTAAAAATACAAAACTTTGGTCTGCTTCCTTCACTGGCTGCTTCACAAATACATTTTCAGCCACTGAGTGTAGGAGCACCCAGTTTGAAAACTGCAAGAACGACAACAACAACAACAACAAAAATCTACAAAAACAGGTTAACCTTGCATCTATTGAAATACACTGACGTCAGTAAAATAGAAACATGAGTCTGGAACGCGCAGTTTCTTATATGGTTGCTGAACATCTGCTTTGAAGGCACGTCAGCTTTTACCTCCCTTGCTTGCACATCATACATATACAATGGAAACGACAAAACACATTGACCTTAAATACAGCCTTAATCAAAACAAACAAAGAAACAAAAAAAGACAAGTTTGCGCGTACTGTGCACAGCGGTAAAGGACTTCCTTCATTGGCGCTGACAAGCAACTGAACCAGGTTGAACCCTTCTCCCAAATTCGACATTCTATTCCACCATATCCAAATTGTCACTGCCCCTGGAAAACTACACTTGATGCCTTAAATCTGCAGTTTGAGTGTGTATCTGTATGTGTGTGTGTGTGTGTGTGTGTGTGTGTGTGTGTATATAACGTATATATAATGTGTATGCGCATGTAGAGATCTTATGTAGTGAAGTGGTCTTGAGAGGCTAGTCATCCTGTACGGCACAAGGGTCAGTGACTACGGGCGGGCTAGTTTCGGGTCATGGGACTTCAGTGTGCCGACGGCGTCCTTCACCGCGTGATAAATGATGTTTTTCACCTATTGAAGAAAAAAAAATTACGGTTATGCAATTAGGGGATAAACGGATGGCAGAAAATATTACCATTTCAACAAGCACAGAAATGCTTAGCATCATTAGTGACCTGCCTGCAAACATCTCCCAGTCTATGGTACGATGTACAGAGATGGGAAATGCAGGTCCAGAAAGTAAAAACCCTGCCACAGTTTGTTTTTCGCCACAGGTGCTTCGATTCAACCGGCAGGTAAACGAGCTTGTGGCAGGGTTTTTACTTTCTGGACCGGGATTTCCCATCTCTAACCATGTATTCAAACATAAGATGGATTTTATTCGTGTTGGTTAGTTAGTTAAGTCTCATAAATTCCACATTACTGAACAAAACACCACTAGGGGCCAGTACCGTGCTACAAACACACCCACTATTACCTCGCAGCTCTGCTAGTCATCATTTTCCAAGGGGACGATTTTTTTTTTTTTTTGTACTGAATTTTCGTTAATGCAATGATGTGCCTGTCCTGAAGACAGTTGTGAAAGTTAAAATAATGCAGTTACTGCAGGTTATATAAAATAAATTACTTTGACTTTATTTGCTATGGGGCACTGGCGTTACATGCTGCGGTTTCTTGTGCACTAACAAAGCACCACTAGGGGTCAGTAATGTGCTGCAAACGCACTCCCGTTACCGCTCAGTTTTGCTGGGTCATCGTTTTCCAAGGGGAAGTATTTTCTTAGGGAATTTCTGTTGATAATACAGTGAAATCACTGTATTGTCTTTATGACAGTTGTGGAAGTTAAAAGTTAAATCTTATATAAAATAAATTGCTTTGACTTAATTTATGGGCTCTGGGGCATTGGTAGTGTTCCATGCTGCTGTCTATTATGCACTCGGCATGAGTTCGATTCCTCGCCAGTGCCCCAATACCCAGCCCCTGCATATCCCAGGGCTGGGTAGAAAATGGGTAGTTTGCTCAGGGAGGGTGTCTGGTGCAAAGCTACCAAACAAATAATGCGAGTAACTCACAGTGGCAATGCCACGTTTATTATGGAAATTGTTTTTCTCAAAAATAAACAAATAAATAACATGAGATTTCACAGACACTACCAAATCAATTTCAACAATGATTTGTGTAGAAACAAACAAATGCAAGACCTGAATCTACACCAAAACATCTTTGTTTTTGTAGAAATTATTTGAGTAGGTTTTGCATAATAGTCATGCTAAAGCACACACGTCCCTTGGTGCAGTTTAACTGTCAGCCTGAAAAGGGGGCCTGTATCTGGCACACCTACCTGTAGCTTGTCTTCATGGTTCGTATGAGTGGTAGAAAGGTGTCTGAACTCCTGCGTCAATCGGAAACAGTGCCTCACATGCTCTGGAGACACAAAGTCCTCGGCCGCCTTGATGCAACTATACAAGTTGTGCACCTGACGGCAGAAGAACAAACAATGTTACGTTCATTGAAAAGTAAACAGACAGGCAGGAATGCATGAAGACATGCCTCCATATGCACGTCTTACCTGGTGTGGTGCTCCAGCAGGGATAAAAACAGCATCACCCAGGAACTGCACAATGGCCCAGCCCTGCACGCCATATTCTTCAAAGAGTCTGCGGCGGAGAACCTGATCCAAGTACCAGCTCTGGTCATGAATGGGGTCATGGTCGAGCGGGTTCTCCTGACCCTGCTCCTCTCCAACCTTGACAGAAAAACTCAGGTGTCAACTAAAAGCTTGCCATGGTACCAATGCTGCCACCGATTTATCCAGGGACGGGCATTCGGGACAGTATCCAATGGCTGCTAACCTTGCGGAGGAGTTCTCTGATCTTCTCTGCGTCCTTGGCCGCATAGATGTGCCAGAGAGCTCCGGGTTTCTCATTTCCATTGTACACCCTCCTCTTTGTCATTTCATCCACATCTCCCTCCTCAATCGTGGTCATGACCTCTGGGCGTCCAAACAAAACACCAACGCAATGACATCAGCAGAGTTTCTTACCTCCCTGCAGCTTCTCTCGTTTTCTAGACCCATTTGCTATATACTATAGCAATCTGTTGCCTATTTGCCATTCACTTTTGCAAAATGACCTATTCATAATTTGTACCATGACCACCTCAGTAAGCGGGTCAGGGTCTGGTTGTTTGAGCCGCACGAGGATTTGTTTGTGTATATTCATACCTTCATAAAAGTAAACCAAACAGTACAGGTGTGAATACATCCTATGTGAGGACTATAAATGTGATTTTGCAGGATAATCTTTTGCTTATAAATATTATTCACTCAGTGGTCTAAATCAGAGGTCCCCCAACCCCCGGGCCGGGGACCGGTACGTGGGTCATTTGGTACCGGGCCGCACAGAAAGAGTACATAACTTACATTACTTCCGTTTTATTCATTTTGGAATCTGAAAGATGTTTTATTTTGAAAAATTACCGGATCCTCTGTTGCATCCGTCTACAATATGTCACTCTTAACGCAGGCGAAGGCGCGCTTCTCAGTCACGTGATAGGTTACCGCTAAAATGAAACTCAGGAGATAGCAAAATGAGTAAAAAACGAAGGTCTTTGGAAAGTTTCTTTGGGAAGGGGGAAAGGCCCAGCCAGGAGAAAAAGGAGGAGCCTACGACTTTGAAGAAAAAGAAGGCTACATTGAAAAGACCGTGTCAGGAGTCCGACTTAAATTCCCACGCACAAAGCCCAGCCTGCATAATATGCGGCGATGCTGAGTCGTATTTTTCATGCACTTTGTATTTGCGGTCTATCTTATTTTGAAGGCACGTGTAAACATTACCATAGTGACCAGATAGTGTTGCGGCCAGATAGGACGTTCCTCGTGTCGTGATTCGTGTTTATTATGTTTCGAAAATACCAGTTTTCATGACGGTCATATCATATTATTTTGTTGTATTTATCCGACTTTTAAAGGCCGATCTCTGAAAATATTGTCTGACATTAAACCGGTCCGTGAGGCAAAAAAGGTTGGGGACCCTTAGTCTAAATGACACCTAGTGCTTTCTTGTGAATGTATTTTGCAAAATGTCTCGTTCCAATGCCAAAGAGGAAAGGGGGAAGCAGAGTTTTGTCTGCAATGTCAGCTGAAGAGTGGAATAGGAGAGAGGAGACGCCTGCCAGAGGAAATGGAGGCCAAGTCAGGATGCCCTTCATTCAAACTTGGTTCCCACAGTGATTACACCATCAAATTCACAGAAATTGGACAAACTGCAGCTGCAAATAAGTGTAAGCAACGTTTTTGCTGGTGGGTGGGTAGGTGGATGGGTGAGGAGGTTCTGCGATTGATACGGAAAAATGTGACAATCACAGGGACACTTTTCAATGATTATCATTATTTTGTTCATATCAATGCAGAATGGAGATTATCATATAACCCAATCATTGCATACATAATTGCAAATCAGGGCTAGGCGATGAATTCATCAATTAAAGTTTGTTCATCAGGACAATTTTGTTTCATCAACATTTTTTATCAGCTTCTGCAGCTCAAAGTGCCCCACTGACATCCACTGCTTCCACTAGCATCATGGTTGGAAACGTAATGAAGGTAATGAAGGGCAAATGAAGCACCTGTGATATTTTTTACTCCTGTAATTGGCATTCTTGGTTTAAAGATGGAGTGAAAATGTCATAAATTTCCATTGCATTAGCCTTTATCTTACAACCAAGAGCATCAGCTAGAGGAGTAAAAAAAAAAAAAAAATCACAAGTGTTTCCTGAAGCATCATTTTTCCATCGCTAGCTAATACAATACAAAATAGATTTATTTATATAGAGGTCATTGTCAGCGACCTTTCCAACTCCACTAGAGACTATTTGATTTGCAACTTATTCTTGCTACAAAACAGACAAGGGGAATCATTTCAATTGTGGAGTTAATCCCGCTGAACATTGCTTCCTATTTATCTGTTGCAAAAGCAGTATTAACTGGAATGGTGGACATTTTTGATCTGAGGTATTTGTTTTAAGGTCACCAGTATACCTGTATATAAAGAAAGGTGTGACAATTCTCTTCGACCAAATACATATGGAACAGCCGTGCCATGCTTTTGACGGCTCCTTTTAAAATGTTTGATTGCTGAATATTTAAATTTCATTAAGGATCATGTTTAGATACATATTGAGAAAATGGACACTTTCCAATAGAAATCACCTATTAGCACGTGATCAAAGAAAAATATGAATGGCAAGTGTGGATTTCTTTGTTGAAGTTGATGCAAGTTAATGTAGAAAAATAAAACTTGCTCGGAAAGATATAAAGTAAATCACGGAGGGCACTGTCTTTTCTAATAACCCTATCATTTGCTCTTCCCTTGAGCGAAGGAGGGGAGGCGGGGGTTATATTTATTTTAAGGTCATTATCGCCCAGCCCTATTGCAAAGCGAAGAGTGGTAGAGTCAAGGGGGGGGGTTAGTCAGGAAGAAATGCATGCTACTGAAGTGATACAACTGAAAGTCTACACACCTTTGCGTCCATTGATATCCGCTTCTGTGAATGAGAAATGTTGCCGTAATGAAATGGACAGATAGCCACTGAATTGTCTTTTACGGGAGCAGGAGTGGCAACGAACAACAGTGTCAAGGAATAATGTATGCCTTGGCTGTGTGTCGACGACCGCAGTATATGATTTATTGTTGACTACCGCCAATTGAGCTACACAATTCACCACCAACTGAACTGGCACGGCTCTAATTACTATTATGAATCTCAAGCAATATAGTTGAACATTATGGATTACCAGATTGTGGCTTTGCTTTAAACCTTGAACTGAAACAAGTCTAACTGGAACTCTGTACAAGGATTTCTGCGGGAATTTTTGTTTTGTTTCTCGGAACTCATTTATGAGGTCTGTGGCCCATCCGTTCTGATAGTATTACAACCCCTGGCAAAAACTATGGAGTCACCGTTCCTAGAGGATGATCATTTTATTGTTTAATTTTAGAGAAAAAGTGGAAAATCACAGCTACTCTGCAAACAAGTTTAATTCCAAGTGCCACCGTTCTGGCTTTAAAGCAAGAAAAAAAAATAGGCTGGCCCTCTTCACACTGCTTCCACAAAGATTGAAGCATAGAAACATCCACAACATTTTGGCAAGATAAAAGAATTCAGATTCAGGGGAGGCCAGCCACTCCCACTGAGTAACAGTTAACAATGAAACTCAAAAGGTTTGTGCATGTATTTTTTAGAATATCACGGTGAGAAATGTCTATGAATAAACAATTCAAATAAAATGCTGATGGTATAAGACCTAATAGCATGAGCAGAGCAGTCCTTTTCAAAATATCAAAACTACCACAAAGTGTACATGTTTAGAGTGTGCGAGTTCACTGACCTTTCTCCAGGTCTCCTTCTCCTTGAGGTATTCCGACATAAACCATGACATTGACGGCATCCGACACATCAAGATGGAGGTTGGTGGTGCCCACCTTCCTGTCTTCTGTCGAGATCAGTCCTAAGAAAATCAACGATCATAGAAAAGTTAGAAGATCAGAGATGAAAACAAAAATGCAACTACGGAGCAAAAAAATGAGAGCGAAGATTGATTAAACTTGGCAATATCGTCCCACCATAAGCATTGTACATCTTGGGTCCAAGATCTGGTCGTACAAAAAAGTTAGGCAGACGGGCAGCAAGGTTTAGCCGGCCATCCCTTTTAGTATACTCAGGTAAGGGAAGGTTCTCCATTAAATCGTCAAACCTGTGACACGCACAGAAGAAAAACACAAATATGAACACATTTTCTAAATCTACGTCTGTTTGAAACGCGATGTAACGGTGTTGTCCTCACCGTGTGGGCATCATATCCCTGAAGTCTTCTCCTGGAGGCCAATCCTTTAATTTCAATACCATTGGGTTACCTTCACTGTCTTTCAGTCGCTCTGTAGGTGATAAAAACATTTCAACATGTTGAAAGGAGCTATGCAGTCCAAAGGAAAAAAAACAAAAAAGCTCAATTCACAAAGAAGTATTGGGAACTCACTGGAGAGGATCTGGAAGCCGTCCCAAAAGTCTCGCACTTTCACATCAGAAATGATGGCACAGTTCCTGCAGTTGACCAAGTCGACATCCTGGTCCCCAAACTCCTCACTAAAGGCCTCAGGACGCCACAACTCAGCTTTCAGTCGTTTATGTATGCCTGACACCAAGACAGGCTAGGCAGAAAGGAAAAGGAATTGTAAATATACCAAAGCCAAAACAATGTTAAAAGATACTTCAATGAAAAATGTTCCTTGTTTTACACCAAAGGAAAAACAAGCACCAGATGGAATATGCATCTTGGTTCTTACTTGTCCCTGCTTCCAGCACTCTCTGAAGATCTTCCAGTTGTTGCTATTGCCGGGATCTTGGAGGCAAAGGAGACGCCCATCACAGAGCCAGGAGTGCGAGGTGTGTGGCTCCAAAACACTGAGCCCCATGATTCCCTCTTTGCGGGCACCCAACACACCAAGCTCACTTCCCTCAGAGGCTCCGGTACGGCGGCCTTCTGCTTTCTTCGTCTCCACAACTGAGGCAATGATGTGGTCCAAGAAGTTGGGAAGGCTGCTCTTCAGTTTGTCACTCTGAGGAAAGACAATTAGACATGGTTCACAAGCTATGCACTTATTGAACATACTTTAAGCCTTTTTTAAGTACTGTGTTTTTAGGAGTTTCACGCTCAACAATTTCACAATATTGTAATTTTCAGGCTCATAAATTAACCAGTACGTGGCAACCAAACTGGTACTGTTCTGCCGCGCGCGCACACACACACACACACACACACACACACACACACACACACACACAAACAAAAAGAGTTGACACTTACGCCTCCAGAGGTAAAGACGGATGGGAACGGTACTACACTCTCTCCATGTCCTTGGGAAAGCTTGCCAGGTCCAGAGTTGAGCAGGTCCCGCAGACTAGAACCTTCAGGTTTGGACTGCGTCACGCTGGAGCCCAGTAGAAGGCTGTTAAAGAGCTTGGGGCTGGAAGCTGAAGGCCTTGACAGGGCACCGAGTGAGTCCAAACCAAAAGGAGGTCGACTTTCTCGATTCATAATGGCGCGAAGTGAACCAGATTCTGAATGGTAGGAAGACAGTGATGTAACTCTTTCAAATTCATTCATAACAGTGGTGCTGATTTGTCTTTTGCCTCACCTTTTGTGTCATCCTTGGATTTCTGTGTGGCCAAGTCTGCAAGCCAGTGCAGAGCAGAGCTGTTGGCCTCTCCTGATGGCCGTAATTCCTTGGAGGAGGACTGTGCAAGGTTACTGAGGGATGATGTACCACTAGTGGAGTTGCTGGTGCTGCCCACACTTTCCCCTATCCCGCCACTGGACGATACCGCTGTTTGTGTAATTTCAGTTTTGAGAGTTGATGTTTCGCTTTCTGACTTTGGAGTTGTGCCAACAGCGGAGGCTGTAGCTCCAGGGATGCCACCATTGTTTGGCGTTGTCTGTTGAAACAAGCAAATCAACCATAAGAACGCATTCAACGCCAAATGTGACAATCGTGACAATATGATGCACCTGGGTAATCCCGTTGGGGGCACTGTGGCGGACAAGGGATTTAGTATGCCGACTGGCACAGGGGCAGTTGGCTTTAATACCCCACTTGCCTCTTGCTAAGTGCACCATGTCACCTATGTTGTAAAGAGCTAAGAGAAACAATGAGAATGAACAATCAAACATCAGGACAGCAAATTTACAGCTCAAGCTTAACGTATCAACGCAAATAGTTACCTGTCCCAGGGATAATCTGTGTCGGCATGAGGTTCTCTGGCTCGTGAGGTTGGCCCTTTGCACACTTCAACCAAGAGAAAACATCATCCACCGGACCATCTTCCAAATCTAAAATATAGAGCATGCTTATAACACACCACAACGAAAACATCCAAGTATTTGAGGTTGAATTTACATGTACCTGTAAAATGGGGAACCTAAAGTAACGAGGAACATTTAATTCAAGACCACGACCTATGAAGACTTACCATCTCTTGGTCTGTTCCTGCGAAGCCGATAGCAGTCCAGACACACACCAAAGCCACACTTGCGACACACCCAGTGGATGTTGAACAAAGTGGTCTCACACACGTCGCACATTTCCCTCACCCCTCGTACAGCACGTTTCCATGCTACTTTCTCTGTAGAAGCACCAAGGCGAGTAATGTCACTACAGGAGAGATTCACATTTGGGTAATCTGAATACTTGGATGCAGAGATGCCATCCCCCTGTAATCGCCTGTCAGGAACATTCTGGTTGTTTTGACAGGAACATTTTTAATTTAGTCAGGAGCATTTGCACATCAGCCTAAACAAAAAATGCCACTGGGAAGAATCCAAATACACTAATATTTTCTTTACATTTTGATTGCATTGTCTTTTGAGTAGTTTTCAGTAATGAAATATTTAAAGCTAACTTTTGTTGTTTCAGTATTGATTTATTCAATAAAATGTCTTGCCACTCACTGTACTGCTAAATATACATTAACGTAGCAACAGTTTCATTAATGGAATGACATTACAAGAATGTTCAGGTTGTATTGTCCTTTAGCAAAGCTAAATTGATTTGCAAAAATGAGTAAAACAAGATATGCGATTTTGAGAACATTTATCATGCAAATCTGAAAAGTGAAAATCAACACTCAAGCGTGCAAGCAAATGGCAATGCTCACTGTAACTGGTCTGTATATTAATACATGTACTTTTAAACTTTAAGGCCCCTCCTCTTGCCTAACATATGCCGTAAGGTATAAATTAAATTTCCGTTTTTCAGACGATCCAGTGGTTTTAGATTTTCCCACTTGACACTTATTAATTTGCTGTTCATAGATGACTACTCTCCGCTGTAACACAGTTACAGCAAGACTTCTGGTAAAAGTGAACCAATGTTTTATGAAACATTCCAAAAGACATCTCTTTTCAGACTTCACACATTCAATCCCAGGTCTCTCTGTCTCTGTCTCTCTGTCTCTCTGTCTCTCTCTCTCTCTCTCTCTCTATAAATAAATAAATAAAAGGGGGGGGGCTGAAAATGTCTGGTACTGAATTTAATGGTAGCTTAATGGTTTAGCATGGCTTCATAATTTTAATTACTTGTCCTCCTTTCATGACAAAGGCACTTGTCAGAAGTGAAGCTAATTCATAGCAATAGAGGCGATGACTAGTAACTTTTCCATGGAGCTGCACAAACTAGTCAGACATGAGGAAGATGCAATTACCATGACCAACAAACGATATTGCAATTCATTGGTACAGTCCAAATTTTGCGACACTCGCTCGCTCAGTGGCCTCCCTCTCTCAAAAAAAAAATAAATAAAAGGGGGGGGGCTGAAAATGTCTGGTACTGAATTTAATGGTAGCTTAATGGTTTAGCATGGCTTCATAATTTTAATTACTTGTCCTCCTTTCATGACAAAGGCACTTGTCAGAAGTGAAGCTAATTCATAGCAATAGAGGCGATGACTAGTAACTTTTCCATGGAGCTGCACAAACTAGTCAGACATGAGGAAGATGCAATTACCATGACCAACAAACGATATTGCAATTCATTGGTACAGTCCAAATTTTGCGACACTCGCTCGCTCAGTGGCAAACTTCAAACTAACCCAGCTCGCATTATCTCCTCTCCAGAACACTCGAGTTATCCGTAGCAGCGGAACCTATGGCAACTGCCCATGACAAAATATGGACAAATCGGAACACTTGGCATCTTGTGTATGTCCCAAGAACAAATATGAGATCTTTGTACATACGGTGAGGTTCCACCATCATCATGGCCTCTTTCTCGGACATCACCAGCTGGCAGAACTGGTCACCCACATTGGCCAGGATATACTTGGATGTATCAAGGTCGAGCCCCTCTTGTACAGTGGGTGCAGGTAGCCACAGACCCATTGCCATTGAGTCACTCTGCTGGGGGCTTAGGAAACCTTCAACACGTAACATACCCTTACGAGTGAAAGCCAACCTGGTGCAAATTGAGAGGGATGAAAAACGATCACCAATTATCTGTCACACTGTGGAAAATTCATCAGGTGTACAAAACAAATACTTGCTATAATGGTGTACCTTCGAAAGTGAAAGAAACGACAAGCCACATTTGGATCATCGTCATCCTCACTATCATCATCAGCAATGCGAGATTTACGGTAGCGCTCCAGGCGACACTCCCGGCACTTGTGCAAGTGAGGAGCCACATTGATGCACGAGCCATCCTGGAGGAAGGACTCGCCAGACTGCTTAAGACGGCGCACTTTACTTTGGTCTTTCAGTACAGACTGGCCCACTGGAAAATAAAAATCAATGTTAAATTCGTTCTATCAAACGTTCTATCAAATGTTATGCTTCTGACTTTTTGAGACCAAGGTTACCTTTGAAAGGCTTATTTCGTGGACGGCTTTTACCAGCGCCTTGGATTTTAGCTTTTTGCATCATGGCTCCATCCTTCCCAGACTGTGATGACTCTCCATGGGCTTGGCCTTTGTCTGGACCCTCCTCATTCTCACTCAGGTCTGACAGGTCGCTGTTACTGCTTAGGTCAGAGTCACGCTTGGTTGATTGTGCTCTTTCCTCCAAGGCAAACTTCTGAGTGGGGTTATGGTCAAAAGACACAGACAGCTGATCCATTCTAGCGGGGCCAGATGTTCCAAAGACAGCGTTGCCTGCTCTGGCAGGACCAGCTGTACCAAAAACAGAGCTGCCAGAAGTGGATGATGGCATTTCCCCAACTGCCTTTTCTTCTTTTATCTGCGTGTCTTCATTCTGCGCCCTTTGGGTGGTGGTTGGTGGTGAACAGATTGAAGCGCTGGGGGAAGCAGCAGATGAGAGTGCAGCAAAAGGGGAGGACAGAATTCCCTTAGGTGGCTCTGCCATAGTGAAAAGATTGGGCTTGTTGTCCGAGGCGCACTCAACTCTGGGGAGTCCAACAAATGACGTGTGTATGTTTTTGTCCCCATAGGCCAAAAACGGATTCGCTGGCTCTTTCGAGCCCTGCAGAAAGAGGTTCTGATGGCTCTCTGAGGGATTAAAATTAGACGGCATCACCACGGCCCCTGTCAAGGTACCGTTATTACAACTCTTCAATGGGTTTGGTAGTCCAGATGCTGCTGCAGGAGCCCCAATGGCAGATCCCCTTCCAGCAGAAGAGCTACCCAGGCCCGGAAAGGCTGGTGAAGAGTTGCTCAGCACACCATTACCTGTTGGATGAACGTCAAGTGTTTTGGTCTGCTCTGGCTTTTTCATCCCTTCTGTAGCAGACTTGAAAAGGCTTGGGGGTTCCTTGTTAAGGGTTTCTGACACGGCAGCAAAGTAATTTGTGTCCTTGGGCTGGCTTTGAGCACCAGCTAGGCCTGGGTTGGAGTCAGGACTATTTGTCATGCACTGGAAAAACAAATTTTGGTCTTGTTTGGATTGAGTCTCAGTCTTATCTCTACCAAAGCCAAATCCAAAGGGTCTAGAAGCGTCCTTGGAGGTTGCAGAAGCAGTCACGGCTCCGTTGGTCTGTGAGGTAACCTCTCCAAAAACAGGAGCAGCAGGCACAGCTGCTGGAAGCCGATAACCCAATGCAGTCTTAGTTGCCTGTAAGATAGGAAAATCCATTGCAGATGCAGTAGGTTGATAGCAATGATGCATATTTGATTATGAGTGAGCTTGCATCCTGGGTAGTGAAATAATATCAGTGTATAGTTCCCGGATACTCATTAGAGATAAGGAAAATAAGGTTCAAACAGGGGCTTATGCTTATGGTACGATTTGGTTTGAGAAAAAAAAAAAAATCATCATCAAATAGGGATGTCCTGATTCGATCATGTGAACGAAAATCGGGATCCCGTGATTTCCAGCTAAGAAAGATCGGTTTTATTATTTTCACAAAGGTCACGAGGCTACAAAAATAATCCAAATGTCCAAATAGAATAGTAGCAGCTTAGTTTTATTGTTCACAATGTTATTTTTGTTTTGTTTTTTTGGTAGTGATACAGTTTGTGTGACACGCACACACCCACATAGATGTCTCCTCCGCCGCGCACAGCTCTCCTGCACGCAGACAGAGCGGTGGGTTTGTCTTCCTAACTTGTTTGGAGGGAGAGGCAAGCCAAAAGATTCTCCTAAGTAAGACTTCCTTGCCTGAAATAAAGAAGCCTCTTCGCTAAATGGCAGTTGAGAGAGCTGAGAGTGCGACAGAGGTTAGCGATTGACACGCCCAACTAACATAACTTCAAACGCAAGTTTAGCAAGTATGAATTATTTGGTGACAACCAGACTTGTTCACCATTGGTTGCATGGACGAGGTCATAAATCAAGATTGTCGTTCCTAGATGAGAGAAGACAGGCACGTACTGTGTCGGCTCTTCATTTTAGCCCGCACAAGCTTATAAATAACCATGTGAATTAATTGTTTACCGTTAAATACAGGGGGGCAAAAAGTATTTAGTTAGGTCTCAATTGTGCAGATTATGCTGAAAAATAAGTATTTGGTCAATAACAAAAGTTTATCTCGATACGGTTTTAAACTCTTTGTTGGGAATGACAGAGAGCAAACGTTTCGTGTAAGTCTTCACGAGGTTTTCACACACTGTTGCTGGTATTTTGGGCCATTCCTCCATGCAGATCTCCTCTAGACAAGTGATGTTCTGCGGCTGTCGTGTTTTCTATAGGGTTGAGACTGGCTAGGCCACTCAAGGCCATGGAAATGCTTCTTATGAAACCACTCCGTTACCCGGGAGATGTGTTTGGGATCATTGCCATGCTGAAAGACCCAGCCAGGTTTCAATGTGAATGCCTTTGCTGGTGGAAGGAGGTTTTCACTCGAGATCTGATGATTCGTGGCCCCATTCATTCTTTCATTTACATGGATCAGTCATCCTGGTCCCTTTACAGAAAAACAGCCCTAAAGCATGTTTACACCGCATGCTTAACAGCAAGGAGGGTGTTCTTTGGATGCAACTCAGCATTCTATCTCCGCCAAACATGACAAACAGTGGAGTTGTTACCAAAAAGTTCTATTTTGGTGTTGTCATCTGACGTTCTCCCAATCCTCTTCTGGATCATCCAAATGCTCTCCAGCAAACTTCAGCCTGAACATTTGCTTGCTTTAGCAAAGGACACGACTGGTACTGCAAGATTTGAGTCCCTGGTGGTGGAGTGTGTTGCTGATGTTGACCTTTATTACTTTGGTCCTAGCTCTGTGAAGGTCATTCACGACATCCCCCCAAGTGGTTCTGGGGTTTTTGACCATTTTGAGATCTTGCATGGAGCCTCAGACCAAGGTAGATTATCAGTGCTCTTGTGTGTCTCCCATCTTCTAATAATTGCTCCTACAGTGGATTTTTTTTCACACCAAGCTGCTTACCTATTGCAGATTCAGTCTTTCCAGTCTGGTGCAGGTCTACAATTTTGTTTCTGGTGTCCTTTGACAGCTCTCTGGTTTTGGCCATAGTGAAGTTTAGAGAGTGACTGTTTTTGGTTGTGGACAGGCATCTTTTATACCGATAAAGAAGTTCAAACGGGTGACATGAATACAGGTATGAGGGGTGGACAGAGGAGCCTGTTACAGGTCTGTGAGAGCCTGAAATCTTGCTTGTTTCCAAGTGACCAAATACTTATTTTCCAAAATAATTTGCAAATAAATTCTTTAAACATCAGACAATGTGATTTTCTACATTTTTTTCCCCCTCATTTTATATCGCATAGTTGAGGTATACCTATAATGAAAATTACAGGCCTCTCATCTTTTTAAGTGGGAGAACTGGCACAACTGGTGGCTGGATTTAAGACTTTTTTGCCTCACTGTAAATCAAATGTAACAAACAGAGGATTGCCTCAATCTATGGTAATGCTGATATGGGCCATTCAACCAAATTGGTGCAATTTGCATTGCCAGGCAATTACATGAAAATACATTTTTATAAAGCGTCCTGCACATTAATATGTATTGTGCTGAAAGGTTAACATTCAATTACCGGTAGTGTGTCATGGCTATAGTGCTAATTGCTAATTTTATGCTAAAACCCCGGTAAGAGTCTCAGTACAAAAAACCTGACACGATAAAACCAGCTCTGAGATGAACCAATACACATTGAAATATATCGCTGAGGTACTGGTTCGGGACTCTGTATTGGTAGACACTTAAAACAAAAGACTCGGGCTTGGACTCTGATGCCAAAAAAGCATGATCAGGACATCATTGTAATAATCCAAAGATACCTTCCAAGCATGCCCCTGGGTAGTGAGAAATATCCGAATGACATTACAGACACCTCCCTCAGGGAAAAAGAAATAAAGTAGCTCAACAGTCTCAGCAGCATACTGTGTCAATATTGATAGGTCTGTGTCCTGTGTTGTTGTGTGTGTGTGTGTGTGTGTGTGTGTGTGTGTGTGTGTGTGTGTGTGTTTAATGAGCATAATAATAACAAGACAATCATGTCTCTTTACAGGCACAGCAAAAATGTTCATACATACAATATAAAAAGGTACAAGAACTTGTGGTTGTCTTACCTCCGTCTGGCTTCCCCAAGCGGGAGCCTTTGCAATAAAGCCTCCAGAGGCAGACAGCGCCACACTCGGGCTGTTGTCGGGCGAAGACCAAGAAATGGTGACAGGCCCGGGGGAAACAAGGGCTGCAGTTTTGGAAAAGGATTTGGAGGCATCTTCTCTGACTGGTTGTTGGGATGGTGAAGCCTTGTGGACCGGGGCTCCCGGGACCAGGCTTGGCATCTGGCCTAAAGAGGGGAAAGAGGTGGCGGAGAAGGGAGAGGGTGCTGGTTTGAGGGGAGGAGGGGTTGGAGTATGAGAAACTGAGGTGGTTGAGTCCGCTGCCCCTTGTGTGGCGAGCATCCGACCATTTTCTTTCACATGGGCGTAATAACGTGTTGGGTTGGCATTTGACTGGTCCATCTGGACAGAGGAATTGGCGGGGGGTGACACTTTCCCTTGAAGAAAGCTTGCCTCCAAGGTGCCGCCATTTTTGGTTGTACTGCTGACTCTTTCACCAGAGTCTCCTCTGCACACATCTGCCCCGTCCGTCAAGTTTTTGTTAGAATCATCACATCTCTGCTCGTCGGGTCCCAATTCTCCCGCTCCTTTAAAACGCTTCAAGTTCATGTCTTCCTCCTCAGAGGCAGTTCTGCGTCTGCGACTGTTATCACCCTTCAATGTTTCACTGTCCATCTTTCGGCGGCCATTCTTGCCAAGCTAAAAACAGTGATTGGAAGTTATTTTAATACAAGTATCAAACAGTAACCAAAGGTAAAATATGACAAAGGGTAGAGGGTGGGACAAATATCAATATTGCAATGTACTGTATCATTATCTCTCAAAACACGGTATCAACAACAAACATAAATTTAGCACTGGCAAAATATTGAAACCGTGTGCACATTTTCATGATTTGGACTTTTTCATGTGATGGGAATTACAATATCTTACTCTTGGTGTAAATCCTGTGCATCAAAGTGACCCATTACTACTTGTGAAACAATTGCAGCAATTTTGTGAGTTACTTTGCACTTTGGCCCAGAGAACAGAATATGAGAGAATATAGCCCTATAAATAAAGAAAAGGCATGCATTGATTTAAAAAGCCTTACCTCTTCATCCCCCAGCATGACATGTATGACGCGGGGGTCCACCAGCTGCTTTTCTTTATTCTACAGCAAAAACGTGTCGTGTTAGTGGGAGCATGATTTCCCCACTATTTCTCAATTATTTTCAAGTAAACTGTCAACTAAAATCATCACCTTATCCAACATAATCTCCATTGTGTGTGAGATCAGGTCATGCTTTGAGACTAGTCCCAGGGCCCAGCATTCCTCAAGCTCTGGCTGGTACACGCACACCCTTCGTCCTTGAATTGTGTATGAACCTGCACAAAGAAAAGTGAGGGTTCCCACCTTTGCAGATCTTTGTAGGGAAAAGTGGATCTGGATAATATATACCATTTTAAGCCATATTTAAGGTGGACTTGGTATGACAAAAGGAAATAATCAAATACAATGAAAAAAAAAATTCCAAACCTTTGCCTTTTTTTCAGCAGTCACAAAGGGAGCCACAAGACACAAAAAGCTTGCAAGTTCTTACCCTTCCTGAGAATCTCTTGCAGTTCAAAATCACTTCGCCAGCTGGAAATGGCAGTTTGCACAGAGGGCTGCTCCAACAGCAGGGGATGTCTTATATCTTTTTCAACCTGCATAAGAACACAAAACATATTCAGTGTCTCAGTGCTTTCATGCTCTTCATAGATACATCATCCACTAATTGAATTGTACCTCTCATGTCAATTTAGTTCAAATGTCTGCATTGTTTCGTCCATGTTGTGTCATGGTTTAGATTGTCATCATTTAAAATTAGGCGAAAGGCAAAAAAATACAAGTAAAATTAAAACATCTACACACCTCAAACCTGTGGATAGACTTTTTATCAGGAAGGAACTCAAGATTGTTGCTTCCAAAATACTGCACCGGAAACATGGATCCTAAACCCACTCTGTCCACTATTGAGTGGAACGCCTACAGAAAGAAAGAAAGAAAAACATACAGTTAAACCTCGGTTTTCGAACGTCTCGGTTCTCGATCAATTCGGTTTTCGACCAAAAATTTCAAGTTTTTTATGCCTCGGATGACGAACAACTTTCGGTTCTCGAACAAACTGAGCGCACTTGAATGCACCATTTGACTCCTCTCGCCTTCCTTACACAAGAAAGTGACGCTTCCTTGGGTAGACGAGGAAGTGACGCTTCCTCGTGTTGCTTTCCATTGTGAGCAGACGTGTTCAATAAACATTTTTATTTGAACAAGAGCGTGGTTTCGGTTTTCGAACAATTTCGGTTTTCGAACAGCCTTCTGGAACGGATTATGGACGAAAACCGAGGTTTGACTGTATACCCTTGAATTTAGCCTTAGACTTGACAGAGCAACCTGCAAGTGGGAAAACGCACATTTTAATTCAAATGACTCAACCTGATAGAGTAGTCATATCACAACAAGGCAACAACAACACACATCAACAATAAAGTACATTTTATATAAAGTCAGATCAAAATATTCAAAGCCAAAGGTAAAAACTTGGGATGCACCGATAGCGACACTCGGGGGTTCAAGTTGCTCAAGCCCTGTCGCCGAATCCGCCCTTCACTGCTCGGTCTGGCCAAGCCAGCCACACTCCCGTCACAAAGCCGCAGTGGTGTGGCACATCACGCAAAGACAAGTAAGCAATGGTGTGATAAAATATCACTTCTGCTGCCCGGTCACAGTTTTACTTTTTTACTTGTGGTATTCTCAAGAAGCAGCTCTGTATTTCTTTCTACTGGCTTGACTTTGAAGTGAAAACACAAAGGTAACACGACATCTTATATGTAAATCCACATGACTCCGTGTTGTTCTTTGTTATCAAACTACTGTAGATGTATTCCACTTGCCTGGTATCCCCTCGTGTTCAGACTGAGATACAACATCACTCAACTGCCTTCTTACAGGTGACATTTAGGTGAAATATGTGGCAAGGCTGTTCAAAAATCATGAAGTTGAAAGTTTCTATGTCAGTAATGCCAAGTTGTTAACCTAAAGGCTTTTATTTCAATTAAACTTACGCCATATTCAAGAAATGTGTTCATTTAAAAAGAAGACATTTTCATCACAATTCTAAGATCCTGTTGGCATGGTCATCATGATCAATTGATACATCGATCGGTGCATCCCTTTGAGAAATAGCACTGAAAGTGAAGTTGGGTATTTCCTTTTACCCCCATTAGTTTGTTTTTTTACATGTAACTTGTGGACTGATTATTTTTAAAAAGTCAGTGTGAACGCTAAGCAGATTGTAGTAAATACTGCACTGTATGTGTACCGTGTATTGTTTTGTTTTTTTTCCACAAGTTTGGTGTGAAAACATACATTCAATTTCAAGAGTGAACACTGCCTGACACTCACCAGAGCAGGCCAGGCTGCGCTTGAGCCGGAAGACGCAGAAGCAGCACTCCGGTTGGCCCAAACGATTGAATCTTCCACTAACAAAGCCTTAACGGCATCATCGTACACCTGCACCCACGAACACCGTTGCGACGCATTCTCAAACTCCACAAACACCTGCAGTTGACAACAAGTCAGTTACTCACACAATGCAAGTCAAAGACCATCCTAGTGTCAGTGTGTATGTGCTTTATGCAACAGAGAGGATTCATTTTGAAGAATAAAGAGCAGTGACATCAGATGGTATTTTATGCATGTGTGTTCTCATGGTAAAGCTCCAAAGTTTGAGCAAAGAGTCCGAGGTTATGACCGGTGTGCAATCACATATTTTGAGCGCTTACAAATATGTTTTCACATGGCTCAAGAAAACATATTTACTTCAAGCCGTAGTTAGTTACTCGTTTGTTTTATACATGTGGCTTAAAAGTGTTTTTCAGAAAGATATTTTTCGAAATAACCTAACTGCATTAGGTTGGTAGGCATAGTCGGAACTAATTTCCATACAAATTGTGATTACTTCATCACTGTAGGAACTACGGCTCAAGGATTTTGAAAAATAATCTAATTGCCATTGCAATTTAATATGCAATATAATTTTTTTAATGATTTCATAATGGCTTCAGTCAATTACCTTCAATTTTTAAACTTTTGACTTGGTTCTCTTATCCATCTTTATATCAAACCACTACCTATTTAGAGTATTCGTCATGATCAAAGACTTTTCATATGTCTTTATTGTGGATTAATGTTTCTTAATTAAAAACAAAATGTTGACCACAGAGGTTAACGGCAGTAACAAACCAATTGGATCTATTGTTAGTGTCAGGCGGAATCCTCACATTGCATCTTCAAAGAGTGCAATCTAACTCAAGACTGGTCAGTAATTTGTAAAAATGACACACCCATGTGGGGACTGACCAATGAATAGTCTTGTAGAGAAAAAACAAATGTGGACATAGGTTTCAACCCAATGTCAGCTCTATGTTCTATACTTTCAAAATAACTGCAATGCGGAAAATAAAACAATGTACCGGTATTTACAAATGCTGTATTTGTATCCATGAGAAAAAAAATGTGTGATAAACAAATGTGATGAAAACCACTGGAAAATTGAGCAGTGTTTGAAACTTGAATATAGCCTCCATGTCAGTGATGTATGATGTCAGAGCACAGTCGGAATATTCATAGTCAGGTGAAACCCATTTGCTTTGACTTTGTAAATAAAAATAAGAATGATCTTCCATTCCATTGCAGTATTCCTGAAAGTTGCACTGTTTCCATGCTATCAATGCTGTTGTGCCCCATTTAAAGGGGGAGAATTTTGCATAGCGACATTTGAATGCATGCCTCACTCACTACGAGTAGTATTCACACTCAAGTTTTCTTTTTTTCAATTTAGATACAAAACAATTCTGGGCATGTACCTGCTAACACCATAAACTGTTCATATCGTTCCTTAAAAGTGCAAAAGTAGGGATGCAGTTTTTCTTATTGAAAAAAAATAGATAATTACTACCACCATCAAGGACAATTACTAATGAGCTTAAACTGGCCTTTTACACATTTCTGGAGTCTTGTTTTTGCACTCAAGCACACTTTGACATCGAGGTTATCAATTTCTCTTTCATCTCAAGTTCATGTTTCGCTGAAGGAGTTACAAAGGTAATCAACAGTGGTTTTATTATCTTTGACAACCCCCCCCCCCCAAAAAAAAAAACTCCATTAGGGAGAGCTCTGCAGTTGGTGGTGGCAAAAATAAATGTAAAAGCAAGTACAGAAAATGAATGTATGGATGATACAAATAATAATAATGCAGGCAAGTAAGAAATCCGTAGAGCTCATAAATCTGTACAGTAAAGCGTCCCTACTTTTGCAACTTCTTGTGGATGCATGCATTTGATGTATTAAATCCGAGTATGTACAGGAAATTGAAAAATTATGTAAGATCATTCGATAGATTTAAATTTTTTATTATCTCCAGTTAGGTTTTCTAATGGGTTTCATTTATGTAGGTCACCCACCTCAACGTCTTTCTTTGGCAATCCTACACAGCGTAGAATACGCCGTCTTTACTAAAACAATTCCAATGTAAAAAATAACAAAATTTAAACTGTCCTAGTTTATTAACATTGACGATCTAAATGGCTATGTAAAGTGAATTGCTTCGCAAGTTATAAGGCCGCTAAGTGGACTAAGACAGCTAGCAAGCAAGAAGCTAATACTACTTGTCAATGCAGAAGGGGAGCAAAAACGATCTAATGGTCTTTCTTAGGCCAAAAATTAATCCAAGCTATGGTACTTCTATCTATGTGGTGGCGATTGAGTAATATTCTCGAAGGTGGTTGAGACTAGTAAATATAGTAAAAAGCAACCGATACGAAGGCCAGAGAATCCTCGGTCTCGAGTTTAAAGCGTCAACTGGCTGCCTGTGACGTTAGCAAGCTGGTGGGTTGTACATGGCAATGCTACGACTCTGTGTCAACAAATGTAGCCACGTTAACACAAGCGCCAGTCGAGTGAGGAAAAACAACAACAATTATGAGATCATAAACCCCAGCAGGTTGTGGTTTGGTTGCATTGTATGACACCACACCGTATGTAAACACCGACCGTCAGTCCCGCAGCAGGAGTTGTTGTCGGCTCTCCTCCGCTAGCCTCCGGGGCGGCCAGGCCGATGACGCTCACCGCCCGCACCGTCCCCCGCAGCCAGTCCCGGGCTCGCGGCGTGTGCTCCGACTCGGATCCGTTGGCAGCCCCGCCGTCGCCGAGGAGCAAGAGTAGACGCTTCCCGATCAATTCAAGAGACTCCCCCATGTTTTGCCCGCAAACTAGCTGCCTCTATGGAGCCAGCATGAACGAACGGTGTTAACTTCCTCGCTCGGAGGCGAACTCGAAAGTCCGAAAAGACAAACAAGGGAGGAGGTAAACAGCCGATGGCGGCCGCTAAATGTACCGCTAAACACACCGCTAACTGGAAATCGCGCCGTGCACCGGGCGGCACGGAATGAACACGGCGGAGATGTTATTGTCCTCGGTGATGTACGCGACTACCCTGCTACGTCCGCCATTGAGCCCTGCAACAATCAAACGCACTCCTCGTAGGCAACCAGCACTGCGGAGACACAGATCTTGTCTGGGCGAGCAGCGATCTCTAGTGGAAATATTCTAAATTACAATAGGAACCACTGCGGAATGGTGGCTGGCTTGTTGCAGGGAAAACGCAACCTCCCCCACCTCAAAAGCAGTTCCTCTTTCTTTATATGATGGAGGGGACCAGCGTCACGCACTCTATATGAAGGTGAAGGAACGTTGAACCCATACAATTCTCTGATCTTGGTACAAACACAACACTTCAAGTTCACCTAGTAAGCTATTAAAAACATAAATGCATTTCTCCTCCACTGCACACTGCAACCAGCAATAAGAGAGTGGTGGTCAGTCATGGGCCAGGGCTGGGCTACACTCTATCAGAAATTATAATATTTGTTCCATCAAACTATCAATGTATTCCCAACAGTCTATTTTCTCTTCATTTCATTGTGTTTGCTAGCAACACTGCTACTTTTAGGGTGGTTATGTTTTCGCTTTCGTTTTTCGTTTTTAATGGGGAAAGAAAAGTTCTTTTACCTGTCTGACACTTTCAGCTGGCAACAGCCGGGTCGGAGAAATTAGGAGAACTTCTCTTTATCCCCCAAAAAATCTGTCTTTGCCAGGGGCGGCAGGTGTGTGCAGAGGGAGACGCTAACGCCCCCGACTCCCCCCCACACACTCAATATCGGGGAAAATATTTCGGTGCATGCAAGATTGTGGACGAAATGGAATAAAACAGGGGTGGGTGGGTGGCAGACAAGGACATGTATCAGTGGTAGGGAATTCCGGTTCCTCGACAGACATATCCTGTCTGATTTAGATCTTTCCGTACTTCAACACACCTGATTCAAACGATCAGCTCATCGGCAAGCTCTGTAGAAACCTGAAACGATCATGATCAATTGAATCAGGTGTGTTGAAGTAGGGAGAAATCTAAAATAGGTAGGTTATGGCTTTCGATGAACCAGAGTTCCCTACCCTGATGTATGTGAAGATTTAATTATCAGTATCTCTGGTGAAATGTATTCAAACCTGTTAGGTTTTTGTCATGTGATTAGATAAACATTGATTCTGAACTGCACCAGATAATGTGGTTTTTGTATTGTATTGAGGGTTCGTGGTATTTCAACGTGGTAGTGGCTTTTAAATCAATAACTGTGACAATGGCAAACACAACTGAACATGGTACAATTATATTTCAAAAGGTAGACTGTCAATTCTGGTCTTGTATTGGTACTGGTAAAACCAATAAAGTATTTGTTGCACCTGAACAACAGGATAAGCAGATTTTCTCTATATTCTTTTTCCATTCTGTATATGGACCTCACAATAAAACTACAACACTGTGCATTTTTAAGTAACACTATAATAATAATAATAATACATTTTATTTATAAGCGCCTTTCAAAACACTCAAGGACACTTTACAATCAGGAACAAGAAAATTGCAGGTGAGCAGCGTTGATAGGTTAGTGATTCCCAACCACATGGTGTCATGAGAGATCATCATGTGTCTGGAAAATTATTTGACCTAAAAAAATGAATTTGAATTAATATGTCCGAAAATATTATTTATTTACAAGAAATGTATTTTTGTTAATGTCAGCGCCTTATTATGATAGAAGGGGCAATGGAATATTCCTCCACTAGATGGCAGAAAAAAACTGTTTCCACTTGGCCCAGATTTCACACTAAGTCAGTATTTTTGAGTTTGAAATCATTATTGTACAAATAAATCTACACTTTTTTTTTGTTTGTTTGTTTGTTTTTGAGGGTGCATAAGATTTTTGTAATGTGAATTACTCCCATGTGCTGTGGCTCAATGACTGTTGCAAAACTAATCTCTTTTTGTCAATGGACGCTACAGCTTCGTGTTTGGTTTCAAAACTTAGCTTGTAGCAGACGTGCACATTTTCAGCATGACGTCTCTGATCCACTGGTAAAAGGACACTTTGATCCTCTCCTCTTTCGTCTATAACTGCTTCAGACAACAAAGTGTATGCAGGAAAGTGGTGAAGATTACACAACTGTTTGTGTCCTATGTGTTGTGTTATTTTTGTTATTTTGACTTCAAGATGGCGCCGCGAGAGTGGCTGCCTTTCCAGCAGCTCCTATATTTTGTTGTTCTACTTCTTCCTTTCCTTTCATAACTTTGCTGCTGTGAATTGGGAATTTCTCCATTGCGAGACTAATAAAGATTTTCTTATCTTATCTTAAAACAATGTAATGTACGTTATTGTACTTGCCCTATTTTAGGCGGCCACTGTATGGCGCTAAATAACAAAAAACAAGATTGCAGCAGCGCGATGGGAGTCAAGTTCACTGTAAATACAGCAGAGCAATAACTTTTAGGGTCAGCAGCAGTGACCACTTTTTAAAATCAAATCAGCGCATCTGCCCCACAGTTGTAAGGATTCATGGACGAATCCTCAAAATGGTGAATTGTATTTTCGTAACACATCACATGTGAAGGTCTTTATGGGAATGTAATTCTCCTGATGAGACGGTCGCTAGTTGACGTCCAAATTGCTGTAATTTCAAAAAATGTTCCCAAACAGAAGTAATTTAAAAAGAAATAATCTGTTAGGAAGAGAAACAATTTCCATCCATTATCTGATCCGCTTATCCTCACTAGGGTCGCGGGCGTGTTGGAACCAATCCCAGCTGTCTTTGGAGAGTAGGCGGGGTACACCCGGAACTGGTTGGCAGCCACTCGCAGGGCACATAGAGAAAAAACATTCACACTCACAATCACACCTATGGACTATTTTAGAGCGTACAATCAACCTACCATATATGTTTCTGAATGTGGGAGGAAACCGGAGTACCCAGAGAAAATCCACACAGGCACGAGGAGAACATACAAACTCCCCACGTGAAGGCCGGGCCGGAATCAAACCCCGGACATTTGGACTGAGCGGAGGATGTGTTAACGAGTTTCACCATGTTGCCCCAGAAAATATTTATCACTTGTCATTTTCATACAAGTATAAAGAGAACTTAACCACTACATAATAAAACTAAGACAAGGTACAACTACTCACCCTTTGATGACTTGTGGTATTTGATCAATATACAATTTGTTACAGTCATTCATGGTTTTCATTTAACGGTAAGTACCAGAGGAAAGCATTCCATCAGTAATGACGAAACGTCCGTCAGCCCGTCACTGACGAACGCCCATTTTGCTGACGAATGACAATGAACCTAAAGAAAAATAAATGAAGGGCTAAGCACTGGGGGGAGTGGGTTTTCATCCATCAGAATAATGTTTTAAATGGGCCATATTGTGCAAACTTTTTTTCCCAGCTTTAAGCCATGTTAAAATGCTAATTCCTCACCACAAACACCTCCAAAATGGGGTTTTCCTCCATTCAACCATCTTGAAGCATCACTGCTTATTCCTGCTCTGTAAGCACCAGTCCCTCCCATTCCAAGAAAACAGCTGGGCTCTCACTTTTCTCTGTCACAAAGGGACGAGCCACCCCTGTACCGCCTCTGAAGACGAAGCACATGCCCACTTTCTCAAGGAGCCAGCGTGATGCCCAACAAGCCTATCCAGGAAAGAGGCAGTATTTCACCTTGGGTCTCTACGGCTGGAGCTCCACTGCTCTAAAATTTTGCAACTTCTGTGCACTCGCCCCATGTGTGTCCAAAGAAGGGGCGCTCCGAGAGGCCTCTCCTCCCCGACTGGAGCTGCGCTCTTACGAAATGTTTCTCAGTAAACACACTCCCACTTTCTGACAGACAGCAGAACATACATGTATGTGGAAAAGAGGCGCTATGAGTGGCCACCTCAGCCTATAGGCACTTGCCTCCGTGGCGATAGATGATCCAGCAGCTGTTTGTCAGATCGTCATTTCTCCAAGGACTGCCTGATGAACCTTGGCCAGTACAAAAGTGTATTGGCCTGGAAATCTAACGGCAAAACTGGCACAATTACCACAATCAAACCAACTGGAGAGGCCAGAGTTGTAAGTCAATCAAACTGCTAGCTAAATTATGACATAATATTAGCATTGATGCACTAATGTTAGGTTTGTTGTCAAGCACGATATATTAGACACATTTTGCTTTATGAAAAAGATGTTACACACATTTGGCATGCGCATGAAGGAGTAGCGCTGTATAAAGATTGTCAATTGACTCTGGATCAAGGACATTTAGAGGTTCCACAATACAGTATATGTTTATTACGATTTACTTTTTTGTGGGTGATGCGCACAGCAAAGGACTTCATGAAAGGGGTGCGGCAGCCACAAGGGGAGAGGCAAGGTTTTTGTGAACCACTTCCAGGTTAGGAAAAACAGCCAGCAAAATAACTAATTTCATAAGAAATCACATTCTATCTATATATATATATATATTTTCATTGGGGCTTGCCTCCCAATCTCTGGTATGACCTCCTCCTCTGATCTGGCAGCCTGGGGCCCTTCACCGTGGGCCCTGCGTTGTACCTCGTCAATCTCAAGTTGTGACAGCAATTGCCGTTTGTGGATGTTGGAACACTGAGCTACTAGTTGTTTCGTGCAAAGTAACTGATGTGTCATTGTTCCAGGTAATGTTCACAGGGGACAATGTACCTGTCCACCCTCATGTGTATAGCAACGGTCACATCTGTCTATCCATCCTGACGGAAGACTGGTCACCAGCCCTCTCAGTGCAATCTGTTTGTCTTAGCATTATTAGCATGTTGTCCAGTTGCAAAGAAAAGGTAAGAACTTTTGGGAAGGAGGGTACCCACTGTGCCGTATTAGCTTTTTAGCTTCAAATTCCATATGATGGACAAAGCGGTCAATTCATTCTGCCCGTTGTTAGTCGTACTTGATTAAATTGATGAGTTGTGAAGTCAAGCTGTAGCATACAGCCATGTCTTTTTCTGATTGTTTTTTGTCCCGCAGAGACGACCACCTGACAATTCCTTTTATGTAAGAACATGTAACAAAAATCCAAAGAAGACAAAATGGTGGTATCACGGTGAGTACTTTCCCAAGGATGATAAATTGAAAGCCACCGCCGATGTCTTTTTTAATCAGTGTTCGTCATTGTCTTCACAG